GATGCAGGAGAGAAGCAAATCACCATGCTGGAATTGCTGAGGTCAGGAAGCTAAGGCAGTGATAGCGGCTGTGGAGCATGGGAGTGTTTCAGTGTGAAAGTTATTGTAGGAAAAGCCACTTACAAAAATGGATGTGAAGCTCTCCCAGCCTGGGTCTGCTGTCAATGACATTCCCTAGCCTGAAGAAACTCCACGGGAGTCGTTGCTTTAGTCTGGGTCTGGAAGGGCTGGGATCGGCTCCCTAGGGTAGGTTCGCTCTTTTGTGTTTTGAGCCTGTTTCTTTATGGTGCTTGGACCCTCCAGTGGGACAGTCTGGTTTTGCTACACAAACCCTACAAAATCGCAGAATGGCTGAGGCTGGAGACACCTCCGGGGATCAGCCAGTCCAGACTCCAGGCAGGGTCAGCTAGAGCAGGTTGCCCAGGACTGTGGCCATTTGAGGTTTAAATGTTCCCGAGGATGGAGACTCTCTGACTTGCTGGGACACTGTTTCAGTGTTTGAACACTCTCAGTGTAAAAGAGTTTCTTCTTGTGCTTAAGGGGAACTTCCTGTATTTCAATATGTGCCCTTTGCCTCTTGTCCTGTCGTTGGACACCACTGAGAAGGGCCTGGCTCCATCTGCTTTACACCCTCCTATCAGTCATTGATACGTATTGATAAGATCCCCCTGAGCTTTTCATTCTCTAGGCTGAACAGTCCCAGCTGTCTCAGCCTCTCCCCTATATATGAGATGCTTAAGCCCTGAAGCACTTTTGTGACCCGTTGTTGGACCCACTCCATGATGCACATGAGGAGCCCAGCACTGGGCACAGCACTCCAAATGTGTGTCACTAGCACTGTACAGAGGGGAAGGATCACCTCCCTCGAGCCTGAAAAATCATTACTGATATTTGCTTCCCTACTGCACGAAGCAGCTCCTCTTTCCCCTCCCACATCTCCATGCTGGGACTGAGAGATTAATACCCTCCACGGATCTGCTGGACTTCACACCCTGCCTGGTCTTCGCTGCGGTTTGTTTCCCTGTGTTTCCTCCATTTTACACTACTCTGCTCACTTTCTCCTTGTTCTGTTCTGGTTTTCTGTCACTCCCTGCCATTGCCCCTCTCCCAGTTTGCCTTGACTTCGCTCTCTTTTCTCTTTAGCAGTCTGTTCATTGCATTTTTCAACACCAGGGCCCCAGCTGATCCCCAGCCTTGCTACCCTACTGCTTACACCCTTCCCTTTTGGCCCGGTGTATTTCCAACAAGACCTTTCTTCTTTGTTTTTTGTTTTTCCTTTTGAAAATGCCCACAACTACTGCTTTGCATTAGGGGTCCCTGTGTTCATCCCACTGTGTTTCTTGCCAAAGTGCTCCCTTAGTCCAGAGCTGCATGAGAACCTTCCCTGCTGAGGCACCTGAGAGCAGGACCTGACCTGCTCTGCCTTGGGAAGTCCTGCCATGCAAGACATCAGCAGGTTTTTCTGCCGTGCTGCTGGTCCAGCACTGGTCTGGAACAGCATCCCTTATGTCACTACGTCTGTTCAGGGCTTACAGGGAGAGAAGCTTTAGTCTTCTCACATACATGAGGTTAATGAAAAAGCTGTCATAAATCATTATCTCGGGATACGATTGTACAGTTACGCAACTCTGACTGCTCCATCCGCCGCCACAAGTAACACGTTCCAGAGAGTGAGGTTTGTTTTCCTGAGATAAGAGATGTGTCATCACAGAAAGATTTCAGAAGTGTCTCATAGCCGTGTGCAGGTGATTTGGATGCTGTTGACATCAGCGGGACTAATTGTACCCAAATGGCTGCACATGCAGGACCCAAATATTTCAAGTGATGCTATGACTCTCTTATTATTGAAGCTTTTGTGGTGGACAGTTAGACCGTTCTACCCAAGAGACTTATACTGAGCAAATCCTTCCTCAGCTGAGTGTGACTGACCTTCCACCAGCGTGGGACTCAGCCCGCTGTGCTTGATGGAAGCAAACCAGACCACAGACAACAATGTGAATGAATTGGCAAGGCACTAACCAGTTTGATCCAAGTTTGACTTTCTCCTCCACCTATAATGTTTTGTTCTCCTGGTGCTGAACAGTCTTTTTTCTCTCTGTAGATGTTAGAGAAGAGCACAAAGGGTGAGCCTCAGGACACACACTTTGTGTCTAGGGTGTTAGAAGATTACACCTTCAGCACTGCTGAACTCACATGGTTTTAGTCCCATACACCTATGAGCTAGGTCTGCTTTTGATGGTTACGTTCAATTTATCTCGTGTATAGCCTGACGCGGCAGACATTGCGTTCCTGAGTAAAACCTGTGATTTCTTCAGTTCCTCTGAGAGTAACAGTCTCCTCCCTTCTGCGTGGATGGCACTCGACTAGAAATCATTTTCTTCTTATGTTCTGACCGACAACTAACCCAGAGAGTAGCTCTTACTACTATTTCTTCAGGATGAAAAACAAAGAAGGGATTAAATCCGTTCTGATCACCTGAGTTTTATTTTTGTTTGTGGTAAGGATCAGTGAGTTCAGGTCCTGGCTGTAACCAAAGAAACAACCAAGCATAGTTTTATGAGAAACTGTTCACAAACTGAAGTATTATCTTGGACACATGGTTTTGTCCTCGTGGAGGGCAGCAGGCTCAGGGTTCAGCTCTTCCAGTTCCATCCCACCAGTACCTCCAGCTCCACTTCCCCATCTCTGAGTTTGTTGTATTGCCTCCGTGTACCTCATCCCACACAGCCCCTTCTGAGTGTGCACCACTCCCTGACCTGACCTTTTCTGCCTAGCTTGCTCTGTTATATTAAGCTAAGTGGTAGATAGTGTTTTAGTGTTATCCATGATGTCATCTTCCTCTGAACTCTGAGTTATTACACTCTTGACAATAAGAGTGTCTTCGACAAGTGTTCAAAATGAGCCCAAGCCACCATGGGCCACTAAATAATGGTCCTAATACAATCTCTGTGATTGAAAAATGACTCTCAGCATTTCTGTACTGCAGATACCATTAAATGGTCATCTGATGCTTAATATATCTTGGAGATATGTTGTAAGGGCTCAGTTCTGCCAACCTGCTGTCTTTAGAAAATGTGTTGTCTCCAATGGGATGTTCTGCGTGCTGGTGCCAAGTAGACAGACCTCATTAGCTTCCCACATCTTCCCCAATCAGCAAGATCTGTAATGCGGTGGGGAGCTATTCGCCTAGAAAAGCCAGCAGAATTACTGGTGGTTGAATGAATCCTCTCCTCCGGAGCGAACCATGCAATATCACACAGAGCAGGGAATTCAGGCCCCAGCTTCAGGTCCCTGTTCTGCCACTCATGTTCTGTACCACCTTGGACAAGTGGCCAGAATTTCAAACATGGCCTGTAAGTTGGTGACCAGCTTGAGTTACCTCAGGCTTGATTGTAAAAGATGGCGAGCACCCACAGATCTGTGTCAATCAATGGGAGTTCAGGTTCTGCTGGAGAACACCAAATACCAATTCCGTTTCTCCAGTGAGGAATAACCATAGGAGCAAACAAAAGGAGCCCTGATTTGAGACAGAGCTAAGTATCTGTCTCTTATTGCTGCCACCTTCACCTCTCTGAGCTTATCTTAGCACAAAAAAAATCTGTGCTCTCATGTCCCTGTGTGTGACACCTTTACTCCATGTTTGTCAGTATGTGTGCACACATACATATCACAAGATTGGTTATAACCTCTATGCCTGCTCTCTCTACAAACAATAAATAATCAAATAAGGTTAAAATATTTCTTATTCTGTACAGGGTGGATGTGAACTAATGTAATCCTCTTCTGGAGCCTCAGATCTTCCAAGAGTTTCTTTTGTAGAGCACTTTATTGCTGCAATTCATTATGCACAAGGATAGCAGTCTGTAGAGGAAATGATTTGGAAAATGGAATGGACTTAGGTCCCAAAGTATTTCTCGTATGAAAGACCAGAAAAATGGCATTTAAGGAATGCTAGTAGATATGAGCAACACCAGTTGCAACACCAGCATCATTCACATCAATATGTGGCGAAGGAATTTCTCCTCCTTATATCTTTCTTGGTACCCGAGGTGACATTAGGCATATTCCCTCTGCCAAGAGAACAGAACCTTTCAAACTCTATCATCTTTAAAATGTCACTGTCCCTTATAATCCACAAAAGCCACCCCCTTCCTCCTTTTCCTGTGGCTCAAGAGATAGCTTTTGGCTGCACTAAGAAAATCCGTGCAATTCACGCTATAATTGTTCCACTGTGTCCGTGATATTCACAGAGGAGAAAAATCTTTGAGTCTCCACTCATCCAAGGGGAAAACATTGGATGCAACTGAACTGTGTGACATTTGTTTTTCTTGGGGAATAGCAGAGAGACCTCAGTACCATTAAAGAAATCCCTAATGGACAAAAAGCTAAAGGTAGGCTAATGGCTCTGCTGACAGTAACCCATGAGAATTGTTTAACCCTTTTCTTCTGGACTGCTGGTTCTCCTGTCACTGCTGTGCATTGAGATTTGTGCCGAAGAAGCAAGGATTTAAGGAGTGTGGGGACCGGACTCCTCACCTAATTCAATCTTAAAGAAGTTTGGCTTGTGCGGGGCAATTTTGGTTTAACCTTTAGAAGATCACAGTGCCTGAATGTTAGGGCTCTGGCATGTTCAGTGGTTACTCTTTATGAAGGCAGTGCTTTATGCTGTGGAGAACAGGTCATCTGCACTGTCACGGGCAGCAAGAAAAGGATGAGAGAGAACATAACCGTGGGGTGAAGTGAATTAGTGGAAGTGTATGAAAAGCTCAACAAAGGCCAGGCAAGCCTGGAAATACATGCAGCAGACACACAAAAGGAAACTAAGCTTTTAAGCCATATATTTGTTGTTGTTGTTGTTGCTTTTTTCTGTTGCTTTTTTCTGTTTATGGTAGAAATCCAGCTACTGCTGGACTCGCACAGTGACTGTGGAAGTTAAAATCGTGAATGCCATTCTAGCTACTGTGTGAAAATATGTTTTTTCCCTATTTTTCTCTCCCCAGGGCTCTGGCTGACATCTTAAGGCAGCAGGGACCAATCCCAATAGCACACTGTGAAAGAGAGACTATCTCGGCCATAGATACCTCCCCCAAAGAAAACACCCCAGTCAGGACATCTTCCAAAAACCATTACACCCCAGTGCGCACCGCCAAAAGTAACCCGGGTAAGTGCTGCTTTCCTTCTCTCTCTTCAGAGGTGGTTGTACCTGTGGTATGTTAGAAGTCAGCAGAACAACACACTTCACGATAGTGGATTTTGTAAACTTAAAATTAGGGTAATAAATGGCTTTAAGAGGCAATCAGATAGAGCGGGGGAGTGCAGGGATCCGTGGTGGTGATTCTGTAAGGTTTTTGCTGAACAGAGTGGCTGTCTCTCTAGGCATTTTAAAAATTCAGAATCAGTGAGGTATAAATTCAGCTTATACCATAATGCTTGTATTAAGCTTAGAACGTTGTGTGTTTCCAACAAAACACTTATGCTGTAAAGCATAATCGGGCTCTCTGCACAGAGCAGCTGAGAAGAAAGAAATCCACAGATCTGGGACCACCTTATTCAGTCAGGTGAACCGCAGGCGTGTGCTGAGAGGTGTGGAAGGTGACCTAGATGATATCCCAGGAGCTTAAAGAGACTGGCCTGAGGTCCACCGGGAGCATTGGCCTGGGACTTGGGACATACAATTTTTTTTCTGACTTCTGCTGGCTGGGGCAATTTGGTCGAATCATGTGACTGCTTTTGGCCTTGGTTTCCCCAGTGGCCGAGGATGCCAGCCTCTTAGGTAACGATATTGTTCTGATTTGTTTAATGCTTCATATATTGGTAATTGTCAGAACAGTGTCTCGATGATTGCTGACCACCTTTGTTAAGTGGGCTGTGGTAGACTTGCCATCACTTGCCATCTCTCAGTTGCGACTGGATGTGTGCCTCAAAGAGACGCCCTCATTCAGTCACAAGCTATTCAGCTTCACGTAGAAGTTCCAGGGTGGCATTTCCTGACCTGTGTCACCCTGCGATCAGAGGAGGTTTTGCTAACGGTCCCTGCTGGGGGAAGAAGCGAGCAGGAGCTCAGACAGCTCCACAACCTGCGGGGCTCAGTGTGCTCTGCTCTTTGTGGAAAGGGCCCATGACTGAGGGCAGTGACTCTTTGATTTCCATTGCCTCGTTGAGGTGACTGTTAGAAGGGTTTTGCTGCAATGTGCATCACCCTATGGAGACAGGACCAGGTGACCATGTTCTCTGGAAGCCTCCCCTGCTGCTGGGAACAAAATAATTTCCCTGAGAACTAAGAAGGATTTCTTTGCTCTCCAATTTTCACTCAGAGGCCAGTGAACCCTGTAATTTTGTATGCCAGAGAGTTATACCTGTAAAATAAAATGTTGGGCTGGAGAACAGTACATGAGGCGAGCTGTCTGGAAGGGGAAGGTGCTTTTGCATATCTAGGGCTTGGGACTGGCTCTTGAGAGGAGAAGTGATTCTGCTGCAGGATAGAAACACAAGAAATAAGATTTTATGGCCAGTAAACAGGTATAGGCATCATCAGAGAGTGACTCTGACATACGCCTTACAATGAGATGAATCCCTTGCTGAAGACACCCTGTTTCTTCCCATTGGCTTCCCTTGTTCAGTTAGGGCAGGCGGATCCCAAACAAAAATGCAGAACAAATTCTTTGCTTGCAGCAGAAGAGACCAACTGGATACTGGAATTCTGAATTAGGTGTGGTGTTTAGGCACTGTCAAGTCTGAGAAAAGGCAAATGGGAAGGTTTGCGAGGGGAACTGGTAATTGCAGTGTTCTTCTCTGGTGTCTGTCGGTAGCTGATGGCTCCAACGGACATTTTTAAGACTTACTGCTGCATTAGTGGAGGCACACAAGGATGCAAGGACCAGAGCACAGGTATCGTGAGTGAGGTGCTGGTACAAATGGTCACACTAGAAAGTGACAGCACCCGGTCAGGAGTCTGCTTGGTCCGAGCTGAGGACTGGGACATGAGATGAGCAAGGCAAGACGGCTGGGAGGGAACAGGCATGCTGTTAGAGATGCCAGTCTGTTCATTCACCCTCAGCTAGTCTGTGTGTTTGCCCATATCATGTGAAGGAGAAACGCCATTACAGTTCAGTAAGGGCTGAAACAGGCAAGCCACAAGCAACAGGAGCCCACCAAAAGGAAGATATTCACGAGCCCAGCTACAAAGGAGAGGGACTTTCCTTCCAGCACAGCCTTCCCCAGCCACTGGCATCTGCGGGGGTGACGGATCACTTCTGCCTCCGGGCAGCCAGTTGGACCGAACGTCCCACCCAGCCCCTGCCAAAGCTGGGAAGGGAAAACTTGCTCTTGTAGCTTGCCCATAAGAGCTTGTTCCTGGCTCAGCTGTGTCCGTTATTAACATGCCCTCATATATCATATGCGACAGAAAGGGAATCACTTACAAAAGTTCATGAGCTCATGAAACAGCTATACGGTAAATGTTTTTTTATACTGTTTCATTTGCAGAATAGGGCAATGCTCACTTATAACTATACTCAGTTACTCAGCTGATCTCCAGATTATCGCAGTAATCAGGAAATTGTATAACTGAATGCTAAAATCCTTTAGATTGGGAGGGAAGTAAAAGTTGGAAAACAAGCATGGGTTATAGCACGTTAAACTAGAATAAAGCTATAAAGCCCCAGTGTGGAAGTAGAAGAGGGGTCACCATCAATACTTGCTTTTTGGGGAGGAGGGAAGAAATGAAATAAAAGGAGGGCAGTGGGGGACAGCTGGGGGAAAAAATAAAGGCAGTAATTTGTAGTAGTAGGATCCAGGCAAAACACTGCTCACTGGTGCTGCAAATTGGCTTGAGAAGATCACAGCTGTAAAGTTTTGTAGCAGGATCTGATAAGTATCAGGTCTGCTGGCTGTCGTTTGTCCCAGGACTCCAGAGCACGAGAGGTTAAGCAACCAGAAGGGACTATAGTTGTTACATACAGACTGAGACTGTTATATTTGTTTTACTTGGAACTTTTGTTTCCAAACTTATAACTAGAAGGGTGCTCTGAAGTCTTGCTAAATAAAGCATAGCTTCATTTTTCCATTAGGCTTGTTTGGTGTCAGTGAACAAGATGATTGTGGGTGACAGTGACAAACTGCGGTGGTCTGTGTCTGAGGCAGCAGAGTCCAAGCAGAGCAGCGTGTGCAGGTGCTGCTGAGGCCATGCCTGCGGCACGGAGCTTGCTGGGTGGTGCGTGGTGTTTCCTGATGCAGGTACGGAAAGCAGTCCGTCTCCCAGGTGCCAGCTGCTGCCCTTCCTGCAGGGACTCAGGCAGCCCTCCAAGGGTCCCAGCAGACGATCACAGGATGGTGTTGCGTTTAACCCCAGCTGGCAGCTAGGACCATGCAGCCACTCGCTCACTTCTCCCTCTTCCTCCTGGTGGGATGGGGAGAAAAACTGGGAAAAAAGGAAATTTGTAGGTTGACATAAAGACAGTTTAATAGAACAACAACAGAAATCGAAAAAAAAACCCAAAAAGAAAACAAAAAGTGAGCGATGCACAATGCAATTGCTCATCACCTGGTAATCGGTTCCCAGCCCATCCCCAAGCAGTGATAGCTGCCTCCCAGCCAGCTCCTTCCAGCTTATGTAGTGCGCTCTGCTGTGGGACGGGGCGGGGACTGCTGTTAGGATTAGTCTGTGCTTCTCTGTTGAGCTTTGAGGTAGAAGAACCCAGGTCTAACTAATGCTTGTTTAAGGGAAAGAAAGAAGTAGGTCTTTCTGTCCTCGACATGGAGGCAATTGTCATTCTTCAGACAAGGGTGCTGGTTTCAAGAAGGCTTCAGCCTACTGCTTTGCAATGGCCACCTTCCCCAGGTGAGGTGGGAGCTGGCTATTCATTGGTAGCAGAATACTTCTGGATTCTGCCAAGCTTGAGCATCTCAAGTGTCTGAAGAGCATCTCTCCAGAGTTTGTCGCCACTTTAGCTTTCCTCTGAGAATCAAGCTCATCCTCTTTTGGGATGGCAGGGGACGGTTCATCTCCCCTTCCACCTACCCTCACTTCCACTGACATTTCTGTTCATTGCCTTTATACGGTGCTGCTGTTTTGGTGGTGGTAGGCTCTTTGCAGATAAGAAGAGCTGAAAGCTGTGCCTACAGATTGCTTGGGTCAGAGCACACGTCTCCAGCGGTGCACCACCTGATTAGTATGAGGTACAGCACTCTCTGTAGACAGGAATGCTCCTCCAGCCCACACAGACCTCTTGTGAGTTCAGTGTTTGCTATTGTGACTAACAGGTAAAATATGATGAATCTGAGATTACACGAAATCCATCTCATCTAGGTATCTATTGGCATTTTTAATGTCTCTATCACAGTAGCACCTTTAGGGGTGTTGCAAGGAAAACTCTAGCAACATTTCCACTGTCTGTTCTCCTTGGCCATGTTATCTATCCTGACATCTGCTGTGAAGGTCAGTGCCATTCATCTGTTCAGTGGATGGCCAGCAAACATAGGCAAGAACGAGGATAGATGGGAGAAAGGTCAGTAGTTCCTACGGGCTTGGGAAACGTCATACATAAGCAGCAATGTGCTCCCATAGAGGAAGGTGCTGCATTTGGCAGAAGAGACAGAGCTTGAGCCAGAGGCAATCCTCCTGCAACATCTGCAGTCAACTGATGTGTCAGAAAAGATGAGGGCAGTTCCTCTGACCGTGATGCTGATGGGCATTAGCATGAGTAGAAAAATTATGACTGGATTCTTGGCTCAGATGACTACCTCCAATACCATCCTTGGATATTCAAAGGCCTTTTGAGAGTCAGATGCAAGGGGTTGGTTTGCTTTTCCCAAAATGTGGCTAAGCAAAGCACCTGCAAGATTCAGTCCCTGCAGAAATTGTCAGAAGGGAGTTTTCTGACTGCCTTGGTGATAGAGGGGTAGCCAGCTCAGGATGAACAGTTGCGCAGGGAGCTGTCTCATTACTGTTTCCCAAACCGAGACCAAACCACAGAAGACTCCAAGTAAGAATTTGAAAGAGATCTTTGGCTGATGTAAAACAGTGTTGTGCTACCATAGTGATGGAACATGGGCTTGGTTCAGGTAAACCCTTGTGGGTCAGGGAGGCTGATGTCCCAGCCTTACAGCTGGTGCAAATCTGTGATGCTCCGGGACAGCACATGGTCTGAGTTGAGCCCTTAT